ATGGATGACTATGAGAGAAGCAATTTCATGTCCTCATCACATGGTCATACTTTCTAATTAAAAGTTTCAGAGTTTTAATTTATATTCAAATAATATGAGATTATTTGAAAGTAGGTACTTATTTTATACAATAAGGTTTTTAGCATGTGATTTTAATGGAAATAATAAACATCTAATGTTAAAAAAATTCAATCTTTAAGAGAGTGTCAAGTAACAAGTCACATAAATATGAACATGTTTCATGTTCTTATTTTTCCCCCAATAGTTCATTAGGGCACTTGAAACCCGCTAATAGGACTTAAAAAGCAAATATAATCTACACTAAAATAAACGTACTTAAAAACACTTTTAGGAAATTATAGTCTTATATGTCATTTCCCCCATTTTTTAAATTATAGAATGAGAAAGTTGTTATTTTGGGGAAATTATTAGCTTTAATACCTAAAATGAAACAACACTAAATAATGCAGCTTAACGTTTGAAGTCACACATTTAATACCAAATGATATCTTTTTGGAAAAAATATTAATTTAAAAAGTCCCAAGCTATTAAAGTAAACCCTTTAGAATTACTTTGTTTTATTTTTATTGGAGTGATTTAGAAGTTTAAAAGAAAACTACTGTTCACTGAACATTGAATTAAAAATGAATTAACTTCTATCTTCCTCCCTGATTCTGTAAGGAGATAACTGACAGCTAATATTTTCTATTTATAGATTATTAATGTTTTAAGCCTATATTCGACTTTCTAGCACTTCAGAGAAATTTCTGTCTTTCCTCAGTGAAAAACTGGATATATTCTCAAATGAAGGACAAGCCAACAATACTGGGGAACCAAAGATTTCAAATAAATAAACAAACAAATGGAAAAGTTAAATTCAGGATCACGTGTGCAAGTACATTTAGCAGTGGGATACAAGCCAGGCACATTTCAGTTTAGGTAGCACATGACAAACACATGTATCCTTATGTAGACAGTTGGCCAGAATGTTTTAGAGCACAGCTGCCCATAAAATGAAGCCCACACGAATGCTGTAGGCACACTGCTTGTTTAATCCATTTTCTGATCTTGAAATCTATAAATCTGCATTTCTGTATATTGAGTTTCTATTTGGAGGCATACTTCATTAACTCTGGAGCCAAATTGCCAGGGTTCAAATCCCTGGTCTGTCACTTACTAGCTGTGTGACTTCAGGCTAGTTACTTAACCATTCTGTACCTTAATTTTCCCGTCCATAAAATGGGCACAATAATGGTTCTAACTCAGAGTTGTTGGAAAAGGTAAATGGGTTATTATATACAAAATCTTAAAATAGCACTTGGCACATAGTAAACACTATATATATGAGTGTTTGCTACTATTATCATAATTATTTTTCTTACTACTTCTACCTAAATTTAATGAAGCTTTAGAGCTGTTCTTAAAGAATCAAAATGATAGTGAACATTTCTACAAATATAATCTGTATTTCCCAAGGCACAGTAATCTGGGCCTAAAATAGAGTCTTGCAATAAAAGTTACATAGTAGGCAAGCAAAGAAGTAGAAAGTTTAGTCAGTCTTTTCTTGCTTTGAATTCTACCTCCACCTCTAACTTATTGTGAGCTGGATAATTTACCTATTCAACCTCCCTAAACTTGTAGAAGGAGAATAATAATACTTTCCTGACAAGATACTCAATAATTACATAAGATAATGAATGTGAGGTACCTGACAGATGGCCTAATGCACAAGGACCTTAACTCTACTTTCAAGAACTCAATTATTTCTTGCAGCTCCACGTGGAGCCCTCTTTCTCCCTTCCTGGCTCCTTGCCACCTTCGACAGTCTTACACTGCTGCCTAATGAAACCAAACACCAAGAAGTAGACCCAGGATAATTACCAGCTGAAAACTAGTGTGTAAACATATGGTTGGTAATGTAATATGTATTATAACATTATATTTAAAAGGTTTAACAGTCTATATTTTTTAGAAATGTACACTAAAGTATGCATGGGTCAAGGCCATATATGGGATTTGGTTTTTGTTTTTGTTTTTTGGGGGGGATTTGTTTTTAAAATACTTTAGCAAAAGGAGAAAAGAGAAATAAAGGTCACATGAAATGAATATGGCAAAATTTATATTGTTTAATTAGAATGACAGGTCCATGAGGAATTATAAAATTATTTCCTCTAGTGTATATAGTGTATAGTGCATTTGAACTTCATTCATAATTTTAAAAATTGAAAAACAAATGTAAAACCCTTACATTTCCAGAAGTAATATGTATGGCTCATTAGCTACCAGGCATATGAGACTTGTCTAATATTCTAGACATTCCATCCCATTTCCAAAAGAGTCCAAGTTAGACCTGTTCATACATTTCACTGAATCCTTTGTTCATTCTAGTTCAGCCGAATATGCCATATCATTTCCAAACAAATATTTGTCAAACCTTCCTTAGGTTAGGAAATTGCCATCTTTCTTACCATCACCATACAGACACTTTTATAACAGATACTCATATATCAATGTTTCTAAAAGTGAGGCCACAAGATAAATCTAACGAATCTCTACAATATTATGCCAAGTGAAAGAAGCCAGACACAAAACACAACATCTCATATGATTCCATTTATGTGGAAAGTCCAGAAAGGGCAAGCCTATAGAAACGGGCAGGAGTTAAGTGTTCTTGGGACTGGAAGTGGAATGGGCATTCACCATGCATGGCATGAGCGATCTTATCGGGATGATGGAAATGTGTTACAACTGGATCGTGGGGAGGATTGTATAACTTAGTAAAGTGGCTAAAAATCATCGACATCTAAACAGATGAATTCTATGGTATATAGTTACACCTTAATTTTTTTTAAAAAGGGATATGGCTAGGTGGATCACAAACTTTTAAAAAATCATGTAAAGCATTTTGTAGTTTAGCAGAACTGTAGCCCATCAGGTTGTGATTTCACAGCAATTACATAAACTTTTAAAGTAAAGGTTTACATCTGAAACTAATACAGAATAATATTAAATGTAAATGGTAATTTAAAACAGTAAAAATAAATAAAGAAAAACAAAATAGTAAAATGAAATAAAAATGTAAAACAGGTGAGTTAATTTAAATAAATTATTTTAACTAATTAATCCACATAACTAAGTCGAATAAAAAATGATGATACCAACAAACTGGAAGTTCTGGTAAATACTGGTCTGGGTCAGTGATTCCTAGGTGATAAAACTCCAGTTGTGTGTGTGTGTGTGTGTGTGTGTGTGTGTGTGCGCGCGCGCGCGAGAGTATTTTAATCTCTCAGGATCAGATATGAAGATTAAATGGGATTATGTTGATGAAAATGCTCTAGAAATTGCCAATGCTGTACCAACAAAGAAAAAGAAATGGTCTGCCTAAGTCGCTTTTATTTTAATATAAAAGATATCCTAACTAGGTTATGGCAGATAAGTGACTCTCAGGTGGAGCAGGAGTTAATTAACCGGTTACCCAGCTTCCTTCCTCTGGGGTTTCAACTTCTCTGATGGTTTCTTCCTTCCACAAACATTATTGAATGCCTACCATTAGTTGGTAGGTCCTTATTCTTGATCCTCAAGAGGTGCCCAGCTGTCCTCCTCCTCCTCTCCCTCTTCTCCCAAACCAAGGTGCTCACTGTAACAACGTCCTTCCTGATTGGCATGGGGCACCCCCTAGCCCGTTCCTGGTTGTACTTGGCACTGGTGAAATGAATGGGCATTTTTGAGGCTTTCCCAAGTATTAAGGGAGAACACCCCTCATTCTCCCCTCACACAATAGTACAGTCAACCTTTTTTAAAAAATATTTATTGTTGAAAGTATTACCTATGTCCGTTTTTTCCTCCCAGTGACTCCTTATAGACCGCCCCGCCCTCCCCGCCCCCACACACACACCAGGCCTCGACCACTCTGTTGTCTGTGTCCGTGGATCATGCATACATGCAAGTTCTCTGGTTGATCTCTTCCCACCTACCCCGCCTTTCCCCTCAGATTCATATGGTCAACCTTTTGAACTACGGATTGGAAGACTGGAAAAAAAAAATCAAAACCCTCTCATTACCATCCTATTTCAGTTCCCGAACTCCTTTCCCTTACACCCCTTTTTCTTTCCAAGGAAGCGTGTCTCTCCCACCTCTCAAGACAAGAATCAGTGACATTCAAGCGCTCAGTGGCATTTGAGTCCCATGCCCAGAAGAACAAAGCAGCCTCTATATTCTAAGTCCTCATCCCCATAGAAACCCGCAGCACCCTCTTTCCTCGGATCCCCCAGGGCCACGGGCGGCTTGTTTTCAGCCAAGGGGTGGTAGCGTTGTTTTCACTGTTGCTGCTATTACTATTCTGACGTCATTCGGCTAATAAATAAATCTAGGAACACTTGGTGGTGGTATCTAAACGTTTTGCCAGATTCTCTATACTGTAGCTATCAGCCACAGTTAAGGACATGGAGAAAAAACACACCAAGCAGATCAGGGCCCAGGTCTCCCTGCCTCCCGGGTGCAGTGCTCGCCCAGGGTTTTGTTTCATCTCCTGCAATTCCAGGGGGTAAGCAAGGCAGATACTACGACTCCTGGCGCCGAAGGCAGAAGGGACGGCTGGCTTAGCTGACGACAGGGCCTGAACTGACACCTGTCCTGACGGAACTAAGTGACTTTCTCTGTTCATTCCAAATTCTTAATGGCACTACCCGTTTAGGACAGGGAGAAGCGCCGGCCGACCCCAGAAACTGACTTCCGGGTGGGGGAGGGGCGGTTGGCCCTCGCGGGTGTGGGCTTCCCTCCAGCACCGAGGCCGGGTTGCTTGTGCTTTAACTCCGCCCAGTTGTGGTGTTTTGGGGGTAGCTCGTTTGCAGGGGTCCGCTTGGAAGTTTTCTTGGGTAGTTTCGCGGATTCGCCCAGCTACCGAGCACACGACGGACACGGAAAAGAAAAATAATAAAACGCAAAGCACGTGGCCTTCCGGATCTCACTTTTCTTGGCCCCTCTCCCGACCCGTAGCCGCGCCTTGTTACGACTGCGTGGGCGACTCGTCTATAAAAGCCGGGCTCGGCGCGTCCCGTCGCCACAGTGGCTTCCTGTTCTGTTTCTGTCGGTGTGGAGTTGTTGTTTCGCCAGGAATCCCTGTGGCCGTGAAGATGGCGTCTACCAGCCGGTTAGTACGTCCGCCCGATCCCGGCTAGTCGAGGGCGGGCGGGGACCCCGTGCCCGGCGGCCGCGGGGCTGCCGTGCCAGGCAGGGCGCCCAGGAGATGCGGGCGGCGGCGGCCGCACCGGCCGGGCGGCCGGACAAAGGCGCTTCCCAGCGGCGGGGCTGTCAGGGGCGTCGCTGGGGCTGCCGAGCCGCCGGCGTTCCCGCCCCAGGGTCTTAGATCGCCATCTCGCCCGGGCTCCACCCTGTGGGGGCCCCTGGGTCCGCAGCCCCTAGCCTCTCGCCTTTTGCTGAGATTGCAAACGTCTGTTTTTCCTTTCTTTATTGCTCCTTTTTTTTCTACGCTTGTTTTTCCACCTACGGCTCGGGCAGCCCGCGGGGCCGTGAGTCGTCCCTTCCGAAGAGCAGGAGAGGGCTAGTTCAGGTCCCCATCCAGCTGACAGCTGGAAAGTTGGGGACGTCGGTATTGGTGAGCCCGATGGAGTCTGTTGCCATCCCAGAGGCCCTCTGAATGGAGGTTAAGGCATTTCTGAAGATCCGATGAGTTCCCTTCTTAAGAGGCTTCTTTACAGATATCTTCTGTATTTTCCAGAAGAAAATCTTGCCTGCAGAAAATTATTTACAAATGCTGGGAAGTCACTCTAATGCAGCGGTTCTCAACCTGTGGGTCGCGACCCTTTCACAGGGGTCGCCTACGACCATCGGAAAACACATATATAATTACATATTGTGTTTTTGATTAATCACTGTGCTTTAATTATGTTCAATTTGTAACGATGAAATTGGGGGTCACCACAACATGAGGAACTATATTAAAGGGTCGCGGCATTAGGAAGGTTGAGAACCACTGCGTAATGTATTTTAAAAATGCAATGTACTCACATGGACAGGAAAAGCATGTAGTGCCCGGAGAGACAGCCTTTAATCCTGTGACCTGAAAAAGGCTTGCAGACCTTAATTATATCTCTCCTTACCACTATAAGGTAGATACGAGTATTTTTGCATGAGTGTAAACTGAGTCATGCCAATGCTGACTTTTCCAAGTTGAGCGTTAGAACAGGCTGTAGTAAGGCATATATCTCTTCCTTGTTCTCACACAGTTGGCTTTTAGTTAATTCATAATGTATTAAAAGTAATTAAGTTCCTATAATTTCTGGAAGGCAACTCTGGCATAAATTTTTGAACCTGTTGTAATCTGTGGAATTGAGTTCCCAATGAAAGCCATTATCATAAGTAGTAAGCTGGAGAAGTCCGGGCCCTTTTTGGTAAACTGCCAAAACTTACTCTTTTATGTTACTGTATTTTTTAAAAAAAAATGGGGAACAGTGAGGCAGCTTTAGCTAATGGCCTGTTTGGCGATAATTCTTAAAGTCAATGACACTCTTGTTTACTGATTGTAATTCTATGATTGAGTGCTCAATCATTCTATCTGGGCGTGGCTGTCAGGGAAGGCTTACTTGTAAGTAAATGGGAAACTTCAGCTTCCCAAAGATACCTAAATACAGCGTATGGTCTCTCATGGCAGTAGATCTGAAAGGTGCATGTGGGCATATTTGGGCACAGCTTTTACATATAAGAACAGGATGATGTATTTGTATGAAATGTTACAGTATCAGTCTCACTTGGTAGATTCCTTACCCAAAAAGTACACTATACTTTGTATACCTTGTTAAAAAAAATGTTCAAAATAAATTTTTTCTGAACATGTCCAGCTCTATGTGTTAATGCATTGCTCAGCTTTTTGAGTTTTTCTTCCAGTGAGAACAAAGGTAAAATGTTAGTATTTCTACCTTTTCACTATTTTTAACTTGAGGAAGATACACAGTTACTAGGCTCTGAAACTGGCTGGTGTTTTCACAGAGAAGAGCACAAGTGTTCTGAGTTCAAATTTAAGCTCCACCACTTATTCTGTGATTTCGGGCAAATCATTCTCTGGGCATAATCTTTAAAGTGGAGATAATGCCAATCTTCAGGGTGGCTTTGAAGATTAATAATGTATGTACAGCACTAGACCCACAGTAGGCACCCAGTAAGTTATAGCTATAAAATGAATTTGGGATTATCTGGCTTCTTAGGTAGTCACAATTGCTTTAGTGTTAGGGGTGATTGTTTACCACATTCCTTTCCTATTGTTTTTCCCCTTACTTCCCCTACAACCCCACTCTTGTAGTTTCTCCTTTGTATTACTCTTGGGGAAATTTGATTAAAAGTTGACTTACATGATTTCATTTTATTTTGGATAGGTAACACATTACACATAGTAAAAAGGCAAGAAAAGTGAAAAGTAGTCTGCCTTCTTCCCCAGCTTCCAGCCATCTAATTCTTCCCCAAAGCATTCATTGTAACTAGTTTTGTGCTTTCCCAGTGAGTCTCTGCTTTAGCAAATATATGCATACTAGAGGACCGGTGCACGAATTTGTGCACAGGTGGGGTCTGGCTGGCTCGCCCGATCGAGATGGGCTGGGTTAGCCGGGTGGGAAGGGCCCTGGATGGTTGGCGGGCCAGCCCCGCCCCCTGGTCAAACTCCAGTTGAACTCCTGGTCAAGGAGACAATTTGCATATTACCCTTTGATTATATAGGATTATATAGGATAGTTCTAAGCCCTCCCACCACCCCCTGAAAAAGGAGTCTAATGTAAACACTGTGCCTTGCTTTTTACCTTTTTTATGAAGTTGGTGCACATGTTTTAAGTGCACAGGTCAATTAATAAGTGAGCATTTACGCAAAGCTACAACCCAGGTCAAGAAATCAAATACCACTAGCACCCTGGAAGCCTCCTTTGTGCCCATAGTCTTTACCACATCCTGATTTCTGACACCATAGATTTGTTTTGCCCACTTTAAGGTTTATATAAATGGCAAAAATATGTGTTCATGAGTAGTTTTTTTATCAGCATTTTGATATTCATGTTATTGCATATAACTGTAGTTCATACTTATCTCAATTTTGTATAAAATTCATACCTTTTTATAGTAAGCATATCTTTGTGATTTTTTATATCATATATATAGATATATAAATAGATACACATACTACATGATATTGTTTCCCATCAGTCCTTTGTGTGATGTGTGCCACCTGACTGTCCACATTATGCATTTGTAATTACTGTTACTCTGCTAACGTTTTCCTTTATTTTAAAATAATTTTCCATAACTTTTGCTTTTTTAATATTTTATTTGTCATAATTTATGAAAATAATTTTTTATAGGAATTTCTGGAATAAGCATGAATGTAAAGCGAACCCCGCCTCCCATTTTTTTCAATGAAAAGATCAACACATGTTCTGGTTACCTTGACTATATAAATTTTGGGAATGTGGATTATATTATCAGTTTTCCAGTGAGAATTGCCTTCTATGTTGAGAGCTAACATTCTAAATTGTATTATGTGAGAACTTTTTCCAAAACCATGAATTACCTCTTTTACATGGGTAATGCCGTCTTTTGGATGTATATTTGTGTTGGCTATAACATAACCTTCTATTAGAGTATTTCAAGTGAAATTTTTTCATAATTAAACATTGGCTTTATTCCACATAATACAGAAAACATTCTCAGAATAACAATACCTGTACTACCTCTGACATGAGTACTTAACAATGTTAATAGTTCTTATATAGGCTCTCATAAAGTTCTATGTGTAAAGTTGTCTCATCATAAATTTTTACATTGATGTCTTTCCTGTCATATTGGAAGTGAAAAACTCAGTCTCCAGTAAACTCAAAGGAAAGGGCTCATGGAAATGATATTCCTTGAATTCTTGCATGTTATTAACAGTTTATGGCCATTGAAAGCCAGCTTTGCTGCATGTAAAATGTCTGCATCGTGATTGGTTCTTTTTTTTTAATATGTATTTTTAATGATTTCAGAGAGGAGGGGACAGGAAGAGGGATAGAAACATCAATGAGAGAGAATCATTGGTTGGTTCATAGGTCAATTCTCAACCACTGAGCCATGCTGGCTGGGTGGTTCTTTTTCTTTTATATCCTTATTGTAGTTCAGCATTTTTTTTATGGCATAAGGTTTTCCTGTCTCAAGTGAACTTTTAAAGACAACTTATTTTTAGTGATAACAAACATTTGTGAGTATGAGGTCATATCCCCAGAAATAATTACAAAATCTATGTTAAATGTCTTTGTTGCTTTTTAAAACTGATTTTGTCTGGTCATTTAAAGCTGATGTGTCTTCCCCAAACTGCTTCATTATAAAATAATTGAACAAATTATTAATATCACAAATAGATTAAAAAGTAGCTTTAAAACTATTTCTTGATTGCCAACAAAATCAATTCTGGGCTAAATGAAATCATTAGGTCTTAAGTAAAGTAGAGCCACATCTACCGCCCTCATTTATATTACTACTGAAGGCCCAGTGCACGAATTTGTGCGCCAGTGGGGTCCCGAGGCCTGGCCTGCGGGATTGGGCCGAAACCGGCTTTCCAACATCCCCCGAGGGGTCCTGGATTGCGAGAGAGTGCAGACCAGCCTGAGGGACCCCACCAGTACACGATCGGGACTGGGGAGGGACTGTGGGAGGGCTCTAGGGCATGTCTGGCCCATCTCGCTCAGTCCCAACAGGCCAGACCCCAGCAGCAAGCTAATGTACCAGTTGGAGCATCAGCCCCCTGGTCAGTGCACGTCATAGCGACTGGTTGACTGTCTGCCCCCTGGTGGTCAGTGCACATTATAAGCCAGTGGTTGAATGGCCTTAGCATATCATTAACATATTACACTTGGATTGGTTGAACGGTTGGCCAGACACTTAGCATATTAGGCTTTTATTATATAGGGTAGTTATCATGTATAAAGTAAGTTAAGTTTAGTATACTATTCTAAATCTACCACCATGGTAACTAGCAAGCAGAAAAAATTTATTCTCTGATCAGAGAAATAAGTGGCAGGGGCACAAACTGCATGGTTATCTGTAACTGTCACAGGTTATTATGGTAGCTAGTCATTTCAGTGCTAATCAAGATTTTTTAAAAACTTAGTTGCCTACATGTGAAGAGAATAAAACACTTGTTTTCTATTTAAAATTTTTAATGCTTTTTATGTCTGCAAACCAGTAACTTATAAAAAATAATTCCAAAGTAATCTACCTGTTAATAACTGGCTAGAATTTAAAGTAATTTAATTGGGGTGTTTACTTCAGAAATTTAGTTTAAATATGTTATAAATATATATTAGAAAAATGTTGCCCTGACTGGCTTGGCTCAGTGGATAGTGTGTCGGCCTGCGGACTGAAGGGTCCCAGGTTCGATTCTGGTCAAGGGTGAAAAAAAGAAAAAAATAAAAATGTTAAAAATCCTTCCTCCTCCGACCCCCAGAAGACTACTTTGTTACATGTTGTTTTGGAGGATTGGTATTTCTCACGTATGGTTCACACATTGGTGTTTCTCTCTCCCTTTATGTCCTAGGGTGAGAATTTTTTAAAAAGAAAAAAAAACACTTTTTTTTCCCCCCCATTTCATTTAGTTTGGATGCTCTCCCAAGAGTCACATGTCCAAACCATCCAGATTCGATTTTAGTGGAGGACTACAGAGCTGGTGATATGATCTGTCCTGAATGTGGCCTGGTTGTAGGTAAGCAGTTATTATGGTTTTAACTAATATCACTACTTTGGATACTTTGTCTTTTGTGTGTTTTCCAAACTGTCTTTTAGTGAATACATTTTGACTGTTTAAGTAACTCATATTTAATTCATAATTATCATGAAACACTCAAAAAGAATTCGAAAAAAAACACAAGTAAGTAAAATCATTCAGAGATATCATATTTTACTGTCAGTTCAAAGGCATATGTTTTATTTTTATTTCTTTGAAGAATTTAGAAAGTTTTTAATTGGGAATATAAAGAATGTCTTGCTAAGCATGCAGACAATATTTGTCCTGATTTTTTTTATTTTGCAGTACTATTTTTCTATCTCCCAAATTAAAATCAGGTCTGAATTGCTTTAGTTTTTGTAGTTTCATGCAGAATACAAAAGATAGGGAAAAATATCTAGATATTTATCAAGATAAAAAAATGATAACTTTATTCATAGTTCTTTTTATTTGGATATAATAACAGTGCTCCTCACCAGGCACCCATACATTAGTGAAGCCAACATATTATTGTGAAGCCTTGACAAATATCAGAAAATGAATATGAATACAAATGTAAATAAAATATTTGAAACTATGTGGGGAAGTATATCACTGGCAATTAGAGAATCACGATGGTGGGTAAGTGAGAGAGAAACTCCAGTGTGCAAGTTACTGCCCTTGCCTATGGGAATGAAAATAGGATTGAAGGGATTATTGTCAGAAAATTAAATGAGTTATCATGTATAAAGTAAGTTAAACAGTGCCCACCATATAGAAAGCTCTTTATATGTAACTATCATGTTACCTGAGAACTGGGTTAGCTCCTCTCTGCTGCTAAACTCAAGAGCCCACATACCAGCCCCCCCCCCCCTTTTTAAAATAATTTTTTATTGTTAAATATGTCCCTTTTTCTCCCCATAGACCCTCTCCAGCCCCCCCTGGACCTTCAGCATCCTATTTCTGTGTCCATGAGTTATGCACATATGCATATAAGTTCTTTGGTTGATTACCTCCTACCCACCCACCCTCCCCTGCCTTCCCTCTGAGATTCCACACTCTGTTCCATGCTTCCATGTCTCTGGATCCACTCCGTTCATCAGTTTATTTTGTTACTTAGATTCCACATATGAGTGTGATCATGTGATACTTGTCTTTCTCTGACTGACCTCAATTAGCATGATATTCTCCAGGTCCCTCCATGCTGTCTCAAAGGGTAAGAAATTTTTCTTTTTGCATAGAATTCCATGGTATAAATGTACCATAGCTTTTTTATCCACTCATCTACTGATGGGCACTTGGGCTGTTTCCAGATCTTAGCTATTGTAAATTGTGCTGTTATGAACATAGGGATGCATACATTCTTTCTGATTGGTGCTTCAGGGTTTTTAGGATATATTCCTAGAAGTAGGATCACTGGGTCAAATGGTAGTTCCATATTTAATTTTTTTTTTTCCAAATATATTTTATTGATTTTTTACAGAGAGGAAGAGAGAGAGAGAGCTAGAAACATCGATGAGAGAGGAACATCGATCAGCTGCCTCCTGCACATCCCCCACTGGGGAAGTGCCCACAACCCAGGTACATGCCCTTGACCGGAACTGAACCCGGGACCCTTCAGTCCGCAGGCCGACGCTCTATCCACTGAGCCAAACCGGTTTCTGCCATATTTAATTTTTTGAGGGCACTCCATACTGTTTTCCATAATGGTTGCACAGGTTTGCATTCCCAACAGCAGTGCACGAGGGTTCCCTTTTCTCCACAGCCTCGCCAGCACTTGTTTGTTGATTTGTTGATGGTAGCCATTTTGACAGGTGTGAGATGGTACCTCATTGTCATTTTGATTTGCATCTCTCTGATGATTAGTGACTTCAAGGATTTTTTCATATGTCTCTTGGCCATCTGTGTGTCCTCTTTGGAGAAGTGTCTACTAGTATTTAGGTCCTTTGCCCATTTTTGATTGGATTGTTTGTCTTCCTTTTATAAGTTGTATGAGTTCCTTGTATATTTTGGATATTAACCCTTTATCAGATGTATCATTGCCAAATATGTTCTCCCATACAGTGGGCTGCCTGTTCGTTATGTTGATGGTTTCTTTTGCTGTGTAGAGCTTTTTAGTTTGATGTAGTCCCATTCGTTTATTTTCTCCTTAGTTTCCTTTGGCTTAGGAGATGTATCAGTAAACATATTGCTACAAGAGCTGTCTGAGATTTTGCTGCCTATGGTTTCTTCTAGAATTTTTATGGTTTCACGTCTTATATTTAAGTCCTTTGTCCATTTTGAGTTTATTTTTGTGTATGGTGTAAGTTGGTGATCTAGTTTCATTTTTTTTTGCATGTATCTGTCCAATTTTCCCAACACCATTTATTGAAGAGACTATCTTGATTCCATTGTATGCTCTTGCCTCCTTTGTCAAATATTAATTGAGCATAATGGCCTGGGTTGAGTTCTGGATTCTCTGTGCTGTTCCATTGATCTATACGCCTGTTCTTGTGTCAGTACCAGGCTGTTATGATTATGGTGGCTTTGTAGTATAACTTGAAATCTGGTATTGTGATTCCTCCAACTTTGTTTTTCTTTTTTAGAATTGCTGCAGCTACTCGGGGTCTTTTTTGATTCCATATAAATTTTTGGAGTATTTGATCTAACTCTGAAATATGTTGTTAGTATTTTAATAGGGATTTCATAGAATCTGTAGATTGCTTTGGGTAGTATGGACACTTTAATGATATTGATTCTACCAATCCAAGAACAAGGTACAATCTTCCACTTGTTTATATCTTCTTCTATCTCTTTTTTCAACATCCTAAAGTTTTCCAAGATGCATGTTTTATAATGTTGGATAGGAGGGAACATCAATTTGAGAGTTAATTAAAAAAAAAAGCCCCCGTTTCCTGAGTTCTTAGGCTTAAATATTTGATGGGGCATTGAGGATGGCAGGATTACACCCATGTAATATAACTTTTGTGGCTTTTAAATGTCATTTATTTTGGAGCATAAAAGTGTATCTGTGTTGAATCTTATCCAAGGCTTTTTAGTAAACAAAAAAGATTGGTTGTAATTTTCATTTCCTATGGAATGATTTATTTATGTTTTTCTAGTGTAAAATAGTCATTGCTAAAAATATTTCTTAAAATTTCACTTTTATTTCTTTGCTCACTAATCTAGAAATGCACCAAAACTTTAGAATAGAAATGGTCTACTTAAAAATTATTCTGCCCAGCCAATGTGGCTTGGTTGGTTGAGTGTTGTTCCATGCACCAGGAGGTTGTGAGTTTGATTTCAGGTCAGGATACATGCCTGGGTTGGGAACTCAGTCCTCAGTAGGGGGCAAGCAGGAGGCAGCTGATTGATGTTTCTCTCGCATCCATGCTTCTATCTCTTCCTCTCCCTTCCTCTCTCTGAAATCAATAAAAACATTTAAATATATAAAAGACTAATATGCATATTGTCCCTGGGGGAGTTCGACCGGGAGACTGATCACTCACTATGACGTGCGCTAACCATCAGGGGGCGGCCTGGAATGAAGGAAGTCCCCGGCCAGCAGCCAGGGAAGGGAGGCCCCGGCTGGCAGCTGGAAGGCCCCGATTGGCCCCGATCGCCGGTCAGGCCTAGGGACCCTACCCGTGCATGAATTTCATGCCCCGGGCCTCTAGTATTTTTATAAAAAGTATTCTGGTGGTAATGTTGCAGCCATGCCTTAGTAGTTTGAAAATGCTAGGATTGTGGGAAGTATAACAGATACATTGATGTTGATGTACTGTGGACGTGTTTACTGGAGGGCATCTGTAATATTCATTTAACCCTACCAGACCTGAGGCCTTGGACCTAACTGTCCCCTATACCTGGGCTCCTGAGCATTAAAGAGAAAAACCAACATGATATAGAAAAATGTTAGTTACATGCAAACAAGTGGTTAGAATAAGATGGAACTTGGAGACATTGTAGAAAATAGGTATAGGCAAAGTACCGAAAATTAGGTACAGCGTTAAAGTGGCAGATTCGGAAATTACCGAAAAATCGGTACAGCGGTCTGGTAGGGTTAAGTAGGCTGCTTTCTTCAGATCTCCAGTGGGAATTTTATTTTTATTTTTTATTTTTTTAAAAAATATATTTTATTGATTTTTTACAGAGAGGAAGGGAGAGAGATAGAGAGTTAGAAACATCTATGAGAGAGAAACATCGATCAGCTGCCTCCTGCCCAGCCCCTACTGGGGATATGCCCGCAACCCAGGTACATGCCCTTGACCGGAATCGAACCCGGAACCTTTCAGTCTGCAGGCCGGCGCTCTATCCACTGAGCCAAACCGGTTTCGACTCCAGTGGGAATTTTAAATCATACAGAGCTGCTAATAAGAATTGAAATCCATTTGCATTGTATTATGCTCAGTAAGAAATATTTTTAAGAGCTAGTTCACTTTACAGTAGACATTGTTCTAAATGATTTACATATTCACTCAGTTTAATCTCAGAGAAATATGTGAGGTGAGTGCTCATATTATCTTCATTTTGGAGGTTAGGAAACTGAAGTTTAGGTAATCTGGCAGTCTTGCTCTTCTGTCTGCATGGGAGCCAAATTTCTATCCTACATAATAAAATGAGTTCAATTGGAGATTGGCACACTACGACCCACTGCCTGTTTTCACATGGCCTGTATGCTAAGAATGGCTTTTACATTTTTAAATGGTTGAAAAAAATCAAGAGAATAATATTTTGGGGCACATGAAAATAATAAAATTCTTATTTTAGTGTCCATAAGTAAAGTTTTATTGGAGCACAGCCATAATCATTTGTTTGCATATTGACTATTGCTGCTTTCATAATACAACAGCAGAATTTAGTAGTTGCAACAGAAACCATATATGTTGCTCTCATCACTTTGTACTGCTGCTCAGTGTACTACAAATCCCAGTTGATAGTTAAAATCCCACAGCATTTTTAAGTAACAAGCATACCTCCATACTGCAACATTTTATTTATTTGTTTTGTTATGATTGCAT